ACAGAAATCCCCAGAGATGCCCTGGGGGGCCTGGACTCCTGTTCCTGTGCCTGAATTCCCTTCTCTCTGTAATTTTATTGCCTTCATCTTTCTTATCATCCCATTTTGGACAGGCTCAAACTTGTGATGGTATGCTTTTATTTTTCTCTCAGAGTGATGTTGATATAAATCGTATTTATTTCTATTTTAAAACTTAGTCTTCCTAGCTAAACTGATTTATTATGTGGGAAAAGACAGTCACATGTGAATGTGACTAGAAGGAAAAAGGGACCAGAAAGCTTTTTTGTTTTGTTTTATCAAGAGATTCACTTCAATTTAAAAAATAACATAGAACAAACTTTTAATCGACCGATCCATTTACCTTTTGCTCGGGACCAGGACCTGGCCTAATGCCAGGCTTTCATGCTGGTCATCACCTCCTCCTGAAATGCTCTACGTCCTCACCATGCCAAACGACTTTCTTCTTTTATATGTTTAAAGTCCTCCTTTGACTTGGGGTACGATGAAGATTTGTTGAGCTCAACAGTTGTTGCGAGTCTACAATGTACCCAGCACTGGGCTTGGCACTCAGGATTCAAAAATTGAGTTCAGGCTGGGCTCAGTGGCTCACGCCAGTAATTCCAGCACTTTGGGAGGGAGGCCAAAGAGGGTGGATCACCTGAGGCCAAGAGTTCAAGATCAGTCTGGCCAACATGGTGAAACCCTGTCTCTACTGAAAGTACAAAAACTATCTGGGCATGGCAGCAGGCACCTGTAATCCCAGTTACTTGGGAGGCTGAGGCAGGAGAATTGCTTGATCCCGGGAGGCAGAGGTTGCAGTGAGTTAGGATTGTGCCATTGCACTCCAGCCTGGGCAACAAGCATGAAACTCTATCTCAAAAGAAAAAAAAAAAAGAGTACAATAAGCCCCCACCTTTGGGAAAAATAACTGAGCAAATAGAACGAGCCAGAGAAAACAAAGAAAAAGTGCTAAGCCTCACACCCTATTACCTATCTATCTCATTTAGTTCTCAACCTGAAACTGCTCTTCTTGTGGTCATGAACTGTGTCTTTTTTATTCTCCACTCTATCATCAGCACCAAATGCAGTGCCTGGCACATGGTGCCCAGGAAAGACTATTGACTGAATAACTGATTCCCTACAACCAGTCTGCAAGGCAGACATCCTTTCTTCCTTTTTTACAGGTGAAGAACTAGTGTTGATGGAAGTTAAGCAACCTTTCCCAAGGTCTCACAGTGGTAGTGTCTTGGGTAATTTGTTTCCAAACTCTTCACCTTTTTTTCTGCATAGCACCCCAAGCCACTTTACCTTTCCAGACTCTTTTCTTAACTGCAAATTGAGAGGAGAAGGCTGGATGACCCTAAAGTCGAACCAAGCTCTAAATTTGATAACCAATGCCCAAAGTTGGTAGTGGAATGCATATACTCACTTTCCCTGAGAGAGTATTTATTTGTCTTTTTTAAACATGCATTTCTTCTGCACGCATCGTTATACTACCAGCTCTTTAAGCTTAATGTTTCATTTTGTCACCGGTTTGTACTACTTCCAGATCTGTGTTCTGTGCTCAAGGACTCTCAGACATTTTAAAGTCCATGACTTTCTGTAAGTCTACCTTATCTTAAAACCTAAGTAAACCATGTGCTACAGTTCCCGAAACCAAGAATTGTTTTTTCTGTTTTATTTCAAGGACAACCCCAAGCTTTGGGTGCTCTATGGCAGGCTTCAAATAATCTCTTGCCTTAAGATGAAGAAAACATTTCTTGGAAATAATGATTCTTGATTTTGAAGAAAAAAAAAACAGATTTTGAAACTTTGTGGAATCATACAAAAATCATTTAAAAATGATACAAAAATTTATTTCCATACACTAACAATGAACAATCAGAAAATAAAATTAAGAAACAATTCCATTTGCAATACTATCAAAAAGAATGAAATACTTAAGAATAAATTTAACAAAAGATGTGCAAGACTTGTATGCTGAAAATCACAAAATACTGTTGAAGAAGATGAAAGATGTAAACACGTGAAAAGACATCTGATATTTGTGGACCAAAAAGCTTAATATTAGTGGCCACACTCCCCGAACTGATGTACATATCTAACAAAACCCCAATCAAAATCCCAGCTGGCTTTGTCTCAGAAATTGACAAGCTGAAACTAAAATTCATATGGAAATCCAAGGGACCCAGAATAGCTAAAACAGTCTAGGAAAAGAAGAACAAAGTTAGAGAACTCAACACTTTCCAATTTCAAAACTTACTGCAAAGCTACTATAATCAAGACAGTGTGGTGCTGCTATATGGATAGTTATATAGATGAGTGAAATCAAATGGAGAATATAGAACTAAATCTTTGCATTTATGGTCAATTAATTTTGACAAGGGTGCCATGATAATTCACTAGGAGAAATAATAGTCTTTTTAATGAAGTGTTCTGGGATAAGTGTATACCCACATGGAAAAGAATGAAGTTGGAGACCTACCTTACACCATGTACAAAAATTAACTTAAAATAAAAATATAAGAGCTAACACTAAAAAACTCTTAGAAGAAACTTTAGATGTAAATCTTTATGACTTTGGATTTGGCAATGGTTTCCTAGACATGACACCAAAAGCAAAAGCAATCAAAGACAAAATAGATCAGTTGGACTTCACCAAAATGGAAAACTCTGGTGCTTCACAGACACTATGAAGAAAGGGAAAAGACAATCCACAGATTGGGAGAAAATATTTGCAGATTGTATATCTGATAAGGGTCTACTCTACAGAATATATAAACAACTCTTACAACTCAACAATAAAAAACACAAGTAACACAATTTTAAAATGGGCAAAGGATCTGAATAGACATTTCTCCAAAGAAGATATGCAAATGTTCAATAAGCACATGAAATTATGCTCAACATCATTAGTCATTAGGGAAAAGTCAAAACTATAATAAGATGCCACTTCATACCCTCTAGGCGACTATACTAGAAAAGAAAGACAATAACAAATATTAATGAGGATGTGGCAAAATCAGAATCTTCCTCCATTGCTGCTGGGAATGTAAATGGTGCAGCTACTTTGGAAAACAATTTGGCAGTTCCTCAAAAAGTTCAACATAGAGTTGCTATATGCCCCAGCAATTCTACTCCTATTTACTCAAGAGAAATGAAAACACGTCCACATAAAAACTTGTACATGGATGTTCATAGTAGCATTATTTGTAATAGGTAGAAAGTGGAAAGGGTCCAAATGTCCATCAACTGATGAATGGATAGACATAATGTGATACATTCATATAATGAAATATTATCTGGCAATAAAAAACATAACATACTGATTCACGCTACAACATGGATGAGCCTTGAGAAGGTTAAGCCAAGTGAAAGAACCCAGTCATGAAAGATCTCACTCATATTACAGGATTCCATTTATATGACATGTCTATAAAAGGCAAATCTGTAGAATGAGAAGACAGATTAGTGCTTGGCTGGGGCTGGGGAGAGCTGGAATGGGAAGTACTAATGGGTACAGATTTCTTTTGGGGAGGTAGTATTCAGGAATTAGTTATACAACTCTACAAATATACTAAAAACCACTGAACGTTATACCACAAAATGTAAATGTTATGATGTGTAAATTATGTCTCAATAGAGGTATTTAAAATAAATTTTGTGTAATCAAAGAAAATTCACAGGGAAATAAGACTAACTGGAAATCCCAAGCTAGCCTCCATCCTTAGCATACAGAAGGCTCCCACTTCCACTGTGTTAGGTCATACCCATAGAACTGTAATCTACATGGGTGCTCAAAGCTTGGCTTGTCCACTTAGTCAATGATTCTTCAAGCCCATTTGTGATATATCCTCTGGGTGCTCATCCAACCTGTGCTTGGCTAGGATCATTTTACCTCCTTTTCAAGCATTTATTGAACATCTCCTCTGTGCTCAGCTCTGGGCTAAGCATTGAGAATTGTTATCTCATTAATGCAACGAACATTTATTTGAATATTTGTAATAGATAAGACATTTTACTGGTTTCTACTCATTCCTGCTTATTCATATCCCTTTTAGCTTGGATTCTCCTAGAAGCAGATCTTGAAGGAAAGATTCCAGAAAAACAGTGTATTGGGAAAATGCAAGTAGTACTTGCCAGGAAGTGGGGGAGGGATTCCCAGAAGGAAAGGAAGCCTATCAAGTCAGCTGCTACCGTGAGCCACTAGAGCTCAACTCTAGAAACTCTGGGGAAGGATGCAAAACACAGGCTGAGAAATTATTCCACCTGAGGATGAGGAAGCTGGGATATTTATATACCAATTGCAGAGTCCTTGGTTGAGAGCTCCTGCTGGAGATGTGTTCATTCCATAGCATCTAGACTATGCTGCCTTCCCCAGTTTCTATTAAGGAAAGGGGAGAAACCTCAGGAGCAAATGTAGGTTCAGGCAATTGGTTGGCAGGACTTCTCCAAGGGATAAGGGTGGGGCAGTGACAGCATCTGCTGCAATACCCTTCCTCCTTCCACAGAGGACTGAGGGTGGCGTACGAGAATATGCAAAATGCATCAGAATGCCGTGAGTTAGGTAAAGGCGAACAGAAAACCAAAGATAAAAGGGAAACCAAGTCTTTATGACAAGGACAAGGAAATGACTATCTTTCTAGGAGACTCAGAAAACAGATGCTGTTTCTGTTCTCAGCTTCATCATAAGCCTATATTCCATCACATACTAAAACACAGTTTTATGAAAGCAGCTCTCTAGGAAGTCCAGGTACAGAGCTCTCTGTAATTCTTGCTGAGCAGGATCAACATCGTCACTGTGAAAGAGCAGTATTAGAGGATGTAGTCTTAGAACGGCAGTGCATGATGACTTCTATGGCTGTTGGCAAGTCTGGTTCCGAGGGTCCAGCTGAGAGTGGGGGATCCCTGTGGTGTAGTTCCCTAAATGACTCCTCACCTGGAAACATGCCCCTGAAGAAGATCCTGACACTACCTCTTTTTTTTTTTTTTTTTTTCAGGAACTCCCCTGGGCCTCATGCCCAGCATCAGACCCTGCCTTCCTCCTGCTGCAGACCCCACTTTCTCCTCTCTCCCTGGCATCCTCAGACTCAGTCCCACGGGTTCCTGCATCAGCTGGTGATAAGGAGGAGCAGGCTGGGGTGAGACTGGGATTAGAGCTTCTCTGTGAACCACCTGCACCCCCAGCCCTTCAGGAAGCTTGTGAAAAATGTGATTCCTGCGCCCCACCAAGACCCGCCAAAACCATCTCTGGGGCTTGGCACAGGACTCTGAATTTCTAACAGTGCCCAGTGATTGTTGCACTTGAGTTTGAGGGCCAGTGAGCCTGATGAATGCTCAGACCCCTCTAGCTTAGAGTCTGCATTTGGGGTGTGGTGTCTCCCACCTGCCCCCATAAGATCTGCTCTGTCCACAATGCCATGACCCAGCTGGGGACTTCCCTCAGGTCTGCCTAAGTCCAGGCTCAGGTCAGGTCAGGCGCACATTGGAGGGGTAAGACCAGGACTGGCAGAGAGAGCTTGTCTTTCCATTCTCCCTCCCCGGCCATGCCTTCTTGCCTTTGGAAAAATGATAGAAAACCTTGGCTCCTTCCTTGTCTAGAAAGGGTTACTTGCCTATGGGTTCTGGTGGCTAGACAGAAGAGTAGGCAACAGAGTGCATGTGGGTGTCTAAAACAGAGGGGAGTAGGAACAGGGCAGATAGCTGAAGGTGACTGAGTCCAGCCAGTCCCCTGGAGAAGGGGCTGGGAGTGGGGTAAAGTAGTACTACTGCTATTTTTCTTTTCTTTCTCTCTCTCGATTTTTTTTTTTTATGTAACCAATACAGTGAATAAGCAGGACCCATGGAAGTTAATAGAAGGAAACTTTATTTTTGGGTCCTACTGTGGCTTTACGATCTGTCTGGTGGAAGAAATTCCTTCCCTACCCCTGGAAGATTTTTTCTTTTTCTTTTTTTTGAAGAAAGAGAAAGAAAAAGAGGGAAAAAGAGAAAAAAAAAAAGAGGGAAAAAGAAATATTACTTCATTCCTAAAATGGGTATCAATAATGGCCGATCAATATTTTGTGTGTTTAAAGTGGATAATGTATATTTTGTGTGTTTAAAATGGAGAGCTCTATTGAGTTTATTTGTTCTGGATCTGAGTTCAAGTCCTGGATATCGTTATCAATTTTCTGTCTCGTTGAATCTAAATCTCATTATGGGTCTCATGTATCTGGGTGTTAAGATCTCTTATTATTACATTAATCCTTTTACCCTTGTATCCTTGTAGCTTTGAAATCTATTTTATTAATTGTGAGAATTGCAACTCCTGCTTTTTATTTATTTATTTTTTCTCTCTGTTTAATTGGTAAGTTTTTCCCCAACCCTTTATTCTGAGTCTTTGTATATCTTTAGATATACCGTTAGATTTTGTCTGTGTCTTTTGATTGGGGGATTTAGTCTATTTAAATTTAGGATTATTGCCATTTGATATTAACTGGCTATTTTATCCTTTCGTTGATGTAAATTCTTCTTTATGTTAATACTCTTTACTTTTTGGTGTATCTTTAGAAAGGCTCATACTGGTTGTTTCTTTCTATGTATAATGCTTCTTTTAGAAGTTCTTGTAAAGCAGGCCTGGTGGTAATAAAATCTCTGAGTACTTGCTTGTTCCTAAAAGATTTTATTTTTCCTTCAATTGTAAAGCTTAAATTGGCAGGATATGAAATTCTGGGCTGAAAGTTCTGTTCTTTAAGTATATTGAATATTGGCCCTCACTCTCTTCTAGCTTGTAGGGTTTCCGCTGAGAGATCTGCTGTAAGCCTAATAGGCTTCCCTTTATGGGTAACCTGATCTTTCCCTCTGGCTGCCCTTAATATTTTCTCCTTCGTTTCGATCCTGGTGAATCTAACGATTATGTGCCTTGGGGTTGGTCTTCTTGAGGAATATCTTTGTGGTGTTCTCTGTATTGCCTGGGGTTGAATAGTGTCCTGCTTTGCTAAATTAGGAAAATTTTCCTGGATAATATCCTGAAGAATATTTTCCAGCTTGAATTCATTCTCTCCATCACATTCAGGTACACCAATCAAGCGTATATTAGGTCTTTTCACATAGTCCCATATGGCTTGGGGACTTTGCTCATTCCTTTTTATCCTTTTTTCTCTATTCTTGCCTTGTCGTTTTATTTCATTGAGTTGGTCTTCGACCTCTGATATCCTTTCTTCTGCTTGATCCATTCAGCTATTTAAGCTTGTACATATTTCACTAAGTTCTTGTGTTGTATTTTTCAACTCCATAAGTTCATTTGTATTCCTCTGTATATTGTCTATTCTTTTCATAATTTCATCGAACCTTTTTTCAAAGTTCTTAGTTTCTTTACAATGGGTTAGAACAAGTTCCTTTAACTCCCAGAAGTTTCTCATCATCCACCTTTTAAAGCCTATTTCAGATAATGGAACACAGTCTTTTTCCATCAGGACTTGTTCTGCTGCTGATGAGTCCTTTTCCACCAGGGCTTGTTCCGTTGCTGATGGGTTCTGATTTTGAGTATACTCGGCCTTCTTAGGCTGTTTTTTTCCCTTCATTGTAGATGAACCGCCTTTCTAATTAGGTTTCTGAGTCGACGTCTGATTTATTGATTCCCAGTGCTGGGATCCGAGCAACCCACTGTGGCGGCCTAAATAGCAGTGATAAAACTGATGGTGCTCTTCTGCCCGGGAATCTCTGGTCTGGCTTCCCTCTTGAGTCCGCAACAAGTGGCTCTGACTTCCCGGAGCTCCAAACTCCGGTCAGTAGGGGTAGCAGTCCCGTTTGCTCTGCATCAAGAGCTGCTGCGCCGAGGTGCCGGCAAAACCGCTGCGGCGGCCACAAGAGTCGCGCTGGCGACCCGTGGGGCTCCTCCACTGGGAATCGGCTGATCCGTGAGTGACGAAAATTTGTCTAAAAGTGTGGCGTCGTCTCGTTCTCTGAGCTTTCACTGGGAGCTACAATCCTGAGCTGTTAGTGGTCGGCCATCTTGGATCGGTCTCCTCTCGACACTACCTCACTGACAGACTAGGTGGAAACTCTCACTGAAGCCAGGAAGGAAGTCACAGTGAAGCTGGCCTCCATCCTGGCCCCCTCTCCCAGTCTCATCCCACCATGCGGTTGGAGTCCTAGTTCCAGCTGAAGGCAACCCTTGAAAACTGTGCTTGGGGGCGTCGGGAGTGATGGGCAGGTACACACTCTGCTACTGTTGCCTGATAGAATCACCAGCATTGCAGAGGATTCTCAGCCTCTTCTCCTCTCCAGGGCCACCTGATGATGGCACTCTTTTGCTGGCCTTATTTCATCAGATTTTTACAAAACCCTGGTCCACAGGCAGGCCAGGCTATAGCCCTCTCCCTGCCCGACAGAGGGAGAAACCAAGGCTGAAATTCACATCAGCAAAGAGAAAGAGCTGGGGTTGACAGCCAGGTCTTCTGACTTAGTCCAGGACTCTTTCTGAGGTAGGAAACGTCCCTGTGTACTCATCCCTAAAACAACCGTGGCAAAATTATTGTCAGGCTACATCTCTGCCAAAGTGTCTGAACACTAGAAACTGCCCATTTTAATTGGGAACATGGTCTCATCTGGCTGCAGTCTACATGGCCCTGCTATTCAAATATTTAAAAATATAGGTGATTTTTTTTCACTTATGAAAGTCATAGTGCTTATTATAAAAATAGGTGCTTAGAATGGATTTGTAGATTTTTGTGCTTTGGAAGGAAGGCCTTTAGTCCATTCTTGGAGGAAAGGTGATCTCATCTTAAATCAATGAATGTTCTTGGGGGAGGGTGATGCCAAGGCCTAATACTGTGTTTCTAGGAAAGGGTGGGCCCATCTCATTCTCTGGGTCAAGGTCCCAGGTCCCAGTGGTATTGTGTTTCTAGGGCACAACGGGCCCATCTCACTCTTCAGAAGGGTAAACAAGACCCAGTGGCTTGGCAGGTCTCACCCCTGCCAGCAGGCTGACAAGCCTTCTTAAACAGAATGAGAGCTTTTGTATGAAAGAGCTGGGTGGGGTGGCTGTGCTACAGTGGGGAATGGATCCCTCAGTGATGTCTCAGCTGCTCAGGAGCCCATCGTGGAGAGGGTCTAACGGCGGGTTTGCTGTCCTCAGAGTGCCCCAATGACAGGACCGACCGAGGGAAGGAGCCCTCTGGGGAAGCATTCCAATCACCAGGGGTCATGCTAGACCAAACTCCTTCCCCTGCCCCCACTCCTGTGCCAGGGCCAAGTAAACCTGCTAGGGTGCTCTAGTGGAGGTGAGAGCTCCCTGGAACCCAGAAGGCCCAGCAAGGTATGAGGAGGTGACGCTCTGCAGGGGCTCTGCTCTTCACACCTCCCTCAACACTCAGGGACACTCAAAAGGCCCAGTATGGCTGGGCCAGCATGGCTGGGAGTGATGGCTGGAATCCCATTTCCATATCTGGAGTCCAGACAGCAACTGTCAGTGCTCCCTGAGCCAGGAGCTGAGAGGATGAGACATCTGTCTGACAAAATACAGAAGAGTTGCCAGGATCCCTGCCAGCATCTCTTATCTCAGGAGGCGCAGCTAAGAGCACTGAGTCCCAGTCTCCAGCACGCTCTTCCACCCCAGGCCTCCCTGAAGATGGGAGGGAGAGTGGCTGCTGCTCTCCTTATCACTCAGGAATCCAATGACAAGGCACTCCACCTTTCTTATTCCCTTAGTCAGTAGCATCTTGTAGCACCTAAAACTGGTCGTAGCCACCTAGGATTTTGAAAGCCAGATACTTGCCGTGCTGATAAGATGTTTATCAGTGGAAAGGGTAAGTGCTGGTATCATCAGAGCATGTGGGTGGAGGCAGGCAGCAGCCCAGAAAATTCAGAGCTCCTTGAGGGGGTGGGTACAGGGCCTGTGTCCTCCAGGCTCCCCTGCTCGGGGCATAAGTGGGATCGAACAGCATTCATTTGGCCCTGCGGACATGATCAATGTCCAGTAGTCTCTTGGCTGCTCCCTTTCATGGTTCACAGTAAGCCAGGCTTCTCCCTACTCTTGTGAGGCAAGGTGATGGCTTGTGATTGAATCTTGACTGGTGTTTTGCGAGGATTGCATGCATTTGTGTTAAATTAAGTTGAATTCAATAACACGTAAGCCACATGTGGTAGGAGAATAATGGCTCCCCAAAGTTGTCCGTGTCCTAATCCCCAGAATCTGCAAATATGTTAGGTTCAATGGAAAAGGGGAATTAAGCTTCCAGATGAAATTGAGGTTGCCAACCAACTGACTTTAAGATCAAAAGATTATCCTGGATTATCCAGGCAGACCCAATGTAATCACAGGGGTCCTTAAATGTAGAAGAGGAAGGCAGAAGAGAAGTCAGAGTGGTGCAGTGAGAAGGTCTCAACCTTCCGTTGCTGATTTTGAAGACGGACAAATGGGCCACAGACCAAAGAATATGGGGATGTTGGTTACTTTAGAACCTGAAAAAGGCAAGAAACAGATTCACCTCTGTGGCCTCCATAAAGTCCTAAGATCTTGATGTAGCTTAGTGAGTCCCATGTTGGACTTCTAACTTACAGAGCTGTAAGATGCTAAAGCTGTGTTGTTTTAAGCCCCAGTGTCTGTGGTAATTTGTTATAGCAGCATTAGCATTAGCAGCATTAGTTACATGGCGCATCAGCTAATCTTCAGAAGCAGCTCCCCAGGCTTGAAGAATGGTTCAGAGTTTTTAGAACTTTGCTCTAAACAAGGCAACCACTCTTGCTCCATTTTTAAGTTTCTCCAAATTTTGAGTTTCAAAAGAAAGACATGCACTTAAAGTTTCTGGAGGCCACAGAGATGAATCTGTTTCCTTACCTTTTTCAGATTCTAGAAGTAGCCAACAGTCCCACATTCCCAAGGTGGGAAACAAGCATGATAAAGTGTTCTCTTTCTTCAGTCACCACGTTTGCCCATCCTGTAATGACCGTCTTAAGTATATTCCATAATAAACAATCACATTCATTCAGTATCTAGCCCAGGCTGGTTCAAAACTCCAACTTTGGATACAATTTAAATCTCATTTCTTCCCTCTCCTTGGGAAAGTCAGACCTCAGCTGGGGATTTGAGGGAGGTCGAGTGTGTGGTCGGTCCTCTTATTCTTCACTTTCCCTTTCATGGGTCACGTGACTCTAGGTTGGAAGGGGACAGGGACCATCTAACATGACCATCCACTTGTCTGTGTGGGGAGATGTTTCTAGTGTCACCCTGGCTCAGTTGGGGTCTATATGAGCCTGGAAATTTCGATGGTGCACTGATCTTATCATAAATGACGGGCAAGGTTTTTTGGAAGATATATCCAGCCATATCCCTGTTCTGGGTCTCCTTCAGGGCAGCTATATCTCCCTTTGACCAGCATTGGTCTGGGCCTTTAACCTCCTCTTTGGACAGGGCATTGCCCCACTTGGCCAGTGACCTTACTGCCAAGCAACTGATGGATAGTAACCTCCTTCCTCTGCCCAAGCCACTCCCACGGGCCTTCTGGCTTCAGAAATCTCCAGGTTTTGGCCTCAAATTTCATGGGTGGCTCCAAACACTCAGCACACAAGTCAGGTTCTTTAAGAGCTCTCCCAGTGTCACCACGTTCTGCTCCACTCAGAGGGCACCCCACCACCCGTGTCTCAGAGCATGTCCAAGTCTCCACCTAGCTTTGGGGAGGAAGTAACCTCTCCCTGTGAACGCCACGTTGACTAACACTTGTCCTCTTTTTCCTTCTTTCCCTAGCTCTCTGCTTCTGTTACAGAGGGGAGCAGGGGTGAAGGCTAGGGGGAGCCCCAGGGCCAGTTCTGAAGACTCTTATTAATTAAGCCTTGAGCAAGGGGTCTAGCCCCTCTTTAAAATGAGGCGTTCCTAACTAACACCCTTTCTTTAAAATGCAGCCTGGCCTCCCATTCCTGTTCCATTTTCTGTTCCAGCTGCTTTTCAAAGAGCCCACCTTTAGGTGATGACTCTTCTTAGACTATGCTTGTCAATTGTAACAGCCACTTTCACGTGTGAGCCCGAGGATTCGAAAGAAGGTTTCCTGGGCACAGTCCATAAGAACTGGGATTTGTGTTCATGAACATGGAAGAAGCCTAGCCCCACAGAAGTGAAACACAAAAGAACTGAGGCGTTTTGCTGAATGCTACGGTCTGAGTATTTGTGTCTGTCCCAAATTCTTATATTGAAATTCTAACGACCAAGGTGATGGTGTCGGGAGGTGGGACTCTGGAGAGGTGATTGGGTCATGAGGTCCTGAGGACATGCCAGCACCTTGATCCTGGATTTCTCAGCCTCCAGAACTGTGAGGAAGAAATTTCTGTTGTGGACAAGACACCCAGCTTGTGACATTTTGTTATAGCAGCCCAAGTGGACTTCTCCCCACCTCACCTGTTATTCTGTTATATTTAGTACAAATGTAACAGAATATAAATAAATATAAATATATTTATACTAAATATAACAGAATAACAGGTGAGGTGGGGGAAGCCAACTGCTGAGCTTCAGGCGCCTCCCAGGAGACCACCCTCCCCTTTCTCTGAGCTACCTGTCTGCTGCAGGGAAACGGACTTTGACTCTGAACGGAGCTGTGCTGGGTCTTCTACCTGTGACCCTGCCCCTTGGGCCTCACAGCCAGCAGGTGTGGATGAGGCCACATTCACAGTAGCGAAGCTGTCTCTTACCCACCCACACTGGCCTTTCTCCCAGTGCGTACTCCAGCCCCAGCTGTCTCTATGTCCCCAAAGCATTCCCTGCTGGCGGGGGGACCCTGGGTGCTGCAGGAGCTGAGCTGGTGCTGCTCTTGGACGTGCTGGAGCCTCTTGGAGTCTGCAAAGAGGCGTGGGGCATGCTTCACTCCCCTCCTTGGGTGCTGTCAGAGGGTCCCAAACTAATGCTTCTTGTGCCCTGTCTTACACGTGCTCTGGGATTTGTTTACGTAACACTTAGCATTTACAATATTCTAAGCAGTTTACAAAAACCAACTTGGATGACCTCGGAGCAGCCCTCTCAGGAACTATGGGCATCAGCATTTAATGATGAGGAGGCCGAGGCATAGAGAGGAGAAGTAACTTGCCCACAGTCACCCAGCTGGTGGGTGGCAGGACAAAGCTAAGATTTTTAAAGGATATTTTATTATATATGTATGTTACCGGCAACCCTTTCCCTCCTGTGACCCAGATGAGGTCTCCAAGGCTCCAGATGTAGAACAGATGCAACCACACTGAAATCAGAATCACAGCTTGCCTCTGACACCTGACGCCTCACTGCTGGCAAGGCCCACTGTGCCTGGCTCTCCCTCTGGAATGAGTTCTATCCCAGAAGCCTCCTGGACCCCTTAGACATACACTGGTCAGGCAGCCCAACCAGTTCATCCAAGAGGCCTGGAACCGCAGCAGCAGCCACAGCTGAGATGAGAGTCGCTCCCTGATCTGATACAGAGCCTGGGATTAGCTTTAATTTCTCTCTTCTTAGGCAAGATCTTTAGAGAATGAATTTTTTATCTGTTCATTTTTTTCCTGGCCATCTCCTGCTGTTTTCTCAACCCAAGAGGGCTACGTTCACATGAAGAAGAAAAGCGAGAAAGCATCCTGGGCTCGGGAGGCCAGGGCTGGAAAGAACTGCTCACCATTTCGAGCCGACGGTTACTCACCTGGCTCCTCACCTGTCAGGGAGCTGAGGCAGAGCCACACAGTGACCGCTTTGTCAGGAAGAGAAATGTTTACGTTTCCTTCCTCCCTCTGCTCTCTCCTAACTAACAATTAAATGGAGAGAGTTGAAAAGACATCTCAGGGACTTCAATATCCTCCTGGCCTGAGGATAAAGGGGGCTCCAACCTAAGTGTTCTCTTCACTGTGGCCAGTACCTAGGGGGCTGGGGCTGCTGCCAGCTCGATTGGAGGCCCCTTTCCAGCCCCAGGCTGTGGTGAGGGGCCTCACAGATTGCACAAGCAGGAGGGCAGCTGACCAAGCACCAAACTATTTAGACAAACACACACCCTCCCTTCCCGCCAGAGTTTGTGCTGATTTCTCCCAATGCTAATGAACAGCTCATAAGCATTAATAGACTCCTTGGCACCTAGGAGCCAGGCAGAGTAACTTCCAGTGTGACATTGGGCCAGGCCTAGACCCTGATGCAGCCTGGGGATTTTCCAAGCCCCTGTTGAGTGCGGGGGGGCATGAGACAGGCAGGGAGATTCGGGCGGCTCCCAGGAAGCAGGCCCACCAGAGCCAGACAGGCTGCCACAGACAGCTTCTAGGTCACAGAGACCTCCGCCTGCCAGATAGGCACAAACACGGAAACCCTCCTGGATCCTCAGTGTGGCGCAGGCTCCAGACGGGCCAGGATGAATCCCTGGTCTCAGAGGACACTTAGGTGGGGGTGGAAAGCAGGAACCGAGAGCTTCTTGCCCAGCACCTGTCCCTGATACCGGCTACACCTGTGTCCATTAGTGCAGGAATTGTACAGGTGGTGCTCTGAGGCTCTGCTGAGGCCATGTATGGACTGAGAAAACCCCACCGTGTGTGTGTAAAGTTAATTCAAATCTATTTTTCTGAGTGCTTACATAGTTTCATAAGGAAAGTTCTGTCAGGACAGCTGCCTGAACTAACACCTCTGCTTGCCCTTCCACTTTCTCCTGTGGGTGTGGGGAGCAGAGGCTGTCATTGCTGGGTATGGGAGTTCAGTCAAGGTGGTGGCAAAAATATTAAAGAAAAAACATTAGAGAAAGTTATAGAATATAGTCTCAAACCCTTTGGGAAGACCTAAAGTTTTTTTCTATAGTTCTTGGCTGAAGGCAACCTTGTCCCCTTAGTTAAATAAATTCGAGTAGAAACAAAAGAATGTGAGTAGTTTACCTAACTGGTTTACTCCTATAGTCTTAAAACTAACCTTTGAGCTGGATGGCCCTCTCGGTGGAGGTCGACCAAAGAAATTACTCTCCAGTGATGTTTGCTTTAAGCTCAGAACCTGGCCTTTAATCCTTCTCCACAAGTATGCAGACTTAAAGCCTCTGTTATTAAATCTATACTGAATAAATGTGACGAAGGTCAACCAGTCAACATCATATAACCGTGATCTCTCTTTTTGAGTAGCTCACAATCCCTAGCCCACTTGTTCGCTAGAAATTTGTGTCTGAGTGCATTTATTCATACATCATGCAGCTGAGTTCTGTAGGATGGATCCCAGCGGCTGGGTCCACATTCCTCTGCCCCAGGTACGGTATTAATGCTGCCATTCACACGTGGCCTACTGTTTCCCCTCATGCTCTGGAGGGCTGGTCTCTGTGCTGCAGACAGCTCCATGCAGGCCCGGGTGCATGATGCCGCCTGCCAATGCCTTGCCCAGGTCCTCTGGCCCTCAGCCTTCTGCAGGCCTGCACCTTCTGTGACTCTCTGCCTCAGCAATTTCTCTGGATTTCTTTGTCCGCAGGAATGTGCTGGGGCCACAAACAGGGCAGAGCAGGCTTTCTGAGGAGTGAATGCTCTCTGCCAGTGACCAAGGGAACTGGTAGACATGTCCCCCAGATCCCTGCCCGCAGGAAGGATGGGTACAGGGAAGTTCTACACCATCTTCCCCAGGTCCCAGGAAGATGAGCACAGTTGTCCACAAGGTAACCCACTCATTCAACACACTGTGTATTTGCTTCCCTCCTTCATCAGCCCCGGTAAACCCCACAGTGGGTAGGAAATGTCAGAAAGCAAGAGGAAATGCTGGAGAGGAAGGGACTTCTTTAGGATTCCATCAAGACTACATCCTTGAGAAAAGGGGTCTCTGATGAATGATTTATGCCAGCAGTGGGCTCTGATCATTGTCCTGGACTAAATCATCAACCCAAGGCTTGCTTGCCTTTTGAGACCATGCAGGACAGGAACTGAGCACATTTGTTCTTCCTTCTGCAGGACCTGGCACCACTGCACAACGCTTGGTAGGTTCCAGATAAATGCTCAGCCATGCTGAGTTCACTCCACAGCTGCTCAGTTGGAAGG